CAACCATCCCTTAGGCTGCTGTGATTCAGGGTCTTTGGGTTTAGGGGTTTAGAACTTAGGTCTTTTTGGGTTTAGGGTTTAGGGTTTAGGGCTTTAGGGTTTAGGGGTTTAGGGCTTTAGGGCTTTAGGGTTGAGGGGTTTAGGGGTTTAGGGGTTTAGGGGTTTAGGGGTTTAGGGTTTAGGGACCCTAAACCCTAAACCCTAAACCGTTTTAGGGTCTAGGGTTTAGAGTGTAGGGCCAAGGGCGCTTCGGACTTCTGACTTAGTGCCTCGGGTCTCAGGGGGCTCAGAGGCCTGCCTGAAGGATCAGGGAACCAAGAAAGTGCAGTCAAGAATCTTAATGTAAGTGTAAGGGTTCCTTAAAGGGTTCTATAAAGGCTACTATAAGGGTTTAGGGTTTAGGGCCCTTAAATAATTGGAATAGGGTTTGGGGGTCTATTATACTATAATCATGATAAGGACCCCCCCCCCAAACAAAAAAAAAAAAAAAAAAAAAGTATAGGTAATAATTGATGCCCCGATATTATTACTTTCAAGCTTTTTGGAACCTTTGTAAAAAAACCCTCAGCCAAGACGCTAATCCCAAAGCCCTGTAGAGTTTAGGGTTTAGGGTTTCAATGCCGCCAGGACACCGTGGAAGAAGGGAGGGCAGTAGAGAAGGATGGACAACCACCCAAGTTGATGTATGGTCGTTGCTGGAGGAAAGACCTCTGTCGGCTTAGGGTCTTGTGGCCGGGGGGTTTCAGGTTTAGTTTAGGATAAGCGGTTTAGTTAGGGTTTAGGGTTTCGGGTTTAGGGTTTGGGGTTTAGGATAAGCGGTTTAGTTCGGGTTTGGGGTTTTGGGTTGAAGGTTTTGGGTATTAATGAGTTTCGAGAACTCGCGGCTTTAGGGCTGAAAAGGGTTTAGGGGGGTCGTCGGGCTTTTGCATGACGTTTGAGGGTTGATCTTTGCTGCTTTCTACGGAAGTTGTTCAACTTGCAGGACAGCGGGTGCCTTATTTTGGAGTCTTGTTCTTAAGGATCCCAACTTCTGGGGCGTTCTAGGGTCCTTTATACAGGCCCCTCACGTTGCTGCACTGCCATGGCATGATGTGCCGGGTTTAGGCGGTCTCAAGGAAGCAAGGATGAGAGTTAGGATTAGGGGGACCCTTGTGGACATAGACCCTCTTGATACGGTCCCGTCTAAAACAAAGAGAGCCACAAGTAGGGTTAAGAAGCCCCTTCAAGGGGTCTCCCTAATACTAGCTAGGAAACCCTAAACCCTGAACCCTAAACCTAAACCCAACTTCAAGGGTTCAGAGTAAGGAGGCAACCACACTGCGGCGCGTGTGCCAGATGCTGAGCCTCAGACAACCCTGAAGCAAAGAACCTAACACAAGCCTTAAGCCCTAATGTAGGGGCCTTAATAATTAGAATAGGGTGTTGGGGGCCTACTCTACTATAATTAGCATAAGGAAGAGCCCCAAATAGTATAGGTAACTATTACCGCCCCTATGTTAACCCCAACTAAACCCTGAGTCCTAACTCCAATCCAAAAACTGAATGAACAACGCCGAGTAAAGCCCGAGAACCTGGCAAGCCACTAAACATAAAGCTTAAACGCCCTTACCTGCAGTGACTCTTACAGACCCAAAAACAACCTGAACCCTAAACTCTATGATATAGAAGCCTACATAACAGCCACTAGCATTCCTTATTTGGATTACTTATGTTGACTATACTACAATACGGCCCCGAACCCCATGTTGATTATTGAGAGGCCCCCTATATTGAACCGCAAAATCCAAAATGCTCCGCCCCTAAGTTGCACCCAAGCTCAAGCACCGAAGCCCGGTTTAGGGTCTAGGGTTTAGGGCTTAGTTCGGGGTTTAGGGCTTAGGGTTTAGGGTGTTTAGGGTTTAGGGTTTAGGGCTTAGGGTTCGGGGTTAGGGCTTAGGGCTTAGGGTGTTTAGGGTTTAGGGTTTAGGGCTTAGGGTTCGGGGTTTAGGGCTTTGGGTTTAGGGTTTAGGGTTTAGGGCACTGGGCCCCGCACGGAAAGAACCAGAGCCACAGTGCAAAGCACCGCCATGAAACGACAGTTGCCGATGGTGCAGGACATCAGCGACTTGTTCCGCCGAACCTGGTTGAGGGTTTAGCGGTTTAAGGCTTTTCGGGTTTAGGGTTTACCCTAAACCCTAAACCTAGGGGTTTAGGGTTTTTGGCTTAGGGTTTGGGGCTTAGGATTTGGAGTTTGGGCCTGTTCCGTCGAACCTGATGGGCTGGGGTTTAGGGCTTAGGGTTTAGGGTTTAGGGATTAGGGTTTGGGGTTTAGGCAACAGGGCTTAGGGTTTAGGAATTAGGGTATCTTACTTTGCCACTTCTGGCTCGAATAACCTCTCACGGGCCCCTGGATTTGTCGGAACCCGGATCGGACGGTTTCGAGACCGGTGGTTTGCAGTCTGGTGCCTGCAATGTGCCGAGGGGGCTGTAGGTATTGCAAACCTCTGCCATATAGCCGGGAGTCCCCGGAGTTCCTGCAGCAGCGATCTCCTGAGCCATGGTTCTACCATAGGCCTCCGCAAGTGCAGTTTCAGGTGTGTCGAGAGTGACCACCTCCTCCGCCAAGAAGGGGCTGCAGGAGTCCGTTAGCTCAGCAATCTGCTCGAACACCTCTGCATGTGCTGTGGGCTCTTTCATCGGCATCATGATGTATAAGCATCCTTTGTGGATGCGATGAACAAAGGCAGGCTCCAGTACATCGTACCGGTAGATGTTCGCGGTGCCCTCAAGGCTCTTAAGCCGGATCTTGGCTTTACGTCTCTCCTTGATCGACATGGCCTGCCCCTTCGCGACTATCTTCTCCCATGACTGGTAATCACATTGACAAAAGTCGACACACAAGCCGTTCTGCAAGCCCAGGGCTCTGTCGAAAGCTCCCGGAGCCAGCCGCTCTATCAGCTCATCGAATTTCGAGTCCGGGTTGATCAAATCCCACCATGCTTCCTGTGTCAACACCCGCAAGCCGAACCTTAAACCCCGAACCCTAAACCACCAACCCCGAAGCCCTAAACTTTCCCGATGCGGTATAACCCTAAACCCTATAACCCTATACACCCTATAACCCTATAAAGCTAAACCCTAAACCCAAACCCGAAACCCTATACCCTAAACCCTATAACTCTATAACCCTAAACC